GCAAAGTTCGAGCTGAGACAAAACTTAAGTATTATAAAGAAGCTTACCTGTAACCTTCATGGCTCTTCATTTTTTCTCTGTGATTTGTAGCTTCGAGCTCTAACACATACTTCTGTATCCTGAGTTTTTACTGAAAGCAAACTGTGAATATGGAAGTTTAATACACTATAGATTTTGCACAAGAGATTTCGAATGGCGAATCGTGCAATAAACGAAAAAAAAGCACCATCTAAGATGCTTAAAGAAGCATGCGTAGCGTGAAATCACACCAGTGTTGCAGTTAAATTTGAGACTGAAATGAAACTTTTACCTTTGACATCGAAGATATACCCTTCGCAGAGGTTACTATAACCACGAGTTACCACCTTCTTCGGGACTTCTCCATCGGTCTCAAGCCATGTCTCGATAAAAGAGGCGTCAAAAAACGGAACATTGCGGAAAGATTTCGACCACGCAGCAGAAAATCCACCTTCAGCAATATTGGCTAAACAAGCATGTCATCCAGGATGCCTGTCCAGCCTTGTTTTGGTGCGGCCCTCGATCCAAGATGGCGGTGCGTGATATTGGAGTATTGGCGACCAGTCAGTCGCAATGTTGGACCCTGGATATGGGCCAAAGTAGCTCCAGTCTACTCCAAGAGGCATTAACATGTAATCCTGCTTCCCTTAGTTTCCACTAGCATCAGATTTAACGACATTTTTGCTCATGCATGCGCAGAATCAAAATTCTGTGACCTATGTCTTTGTAGTCTTTTGGTTTTCTTTCATTTTTTTGCCTCTCCTTTTTCTCCTTTTCTTACCTTTTTCCTGCAGTGATTGACCTTTTGCAGGGCTTGCTTCCAGTTCGAAAACGTCTGAGAAAGCATCATCGAGGCAGGCAATTTTTACCCTGGAGTAGCCACGTGTACTCATAGGAAATTTAGCTCTGAGTTTTTTCACTCACATTTCTGAGCATTTTCATGTATATTTCAGGCTACATTGAGCCAATCACTCTGATCTGGGTATCGTTGGAAAGATCTTTTCCTCTTGCAGAAGTGAAGTATTGTATACAGGGTTCTTGTTAAGATTTTTAGTAACAGGGACCTTTTCCAAAGTAAGAGGGACCAAAATGGCGGCTCTGCCGCCATTACTTGCCACATAGTGGCAAGTGGGGGTAGGTGTGGGAGGGGGTCGCCCTTGAAAATTTGAAAATTTTAGGCCCAAATGGGTGCATTTGAGGCTACTTTTGCACACGTTCTGTTCTTATATTGGCTGATATAATATGGCATTTGTTACTATGAAACATGCAACTTGTAGTACGGATTACATACCAAAATGCTTAAGAAATAAATGACAACTTTGGCTTTTTCACAATTTTAATATTTATTTTCAAAGTTGTAAAGTTCACATGGTATAAATCTATAATACTCCTATATAAAACACATACCTTTCAGCTTCAATAATCCATAATGTATCTTTCTGCAGTCAGGATGCTCTTCATATGTCAAGAACTGGTGTTTTCTTGTTTTAAATTCACAAGTAAAAAAAATTTCCTTGATAATTTATTTCTTCTTTAAAAATAATCATTTTTTGGCTCAGAAATGCATTCATTTATGGTGTGATTAACCTAAGACAACTCAGAGCAATGAATTATCTATACTTGATACTTTATGGCTAATCAGAGAAATAGTCTGATTCATAGTCAAAATCTTCCATTTTGTGGCTTTTCTCATCGCATTCAAGCTGGAGAGCAGCAACATACGCGTCGACATTTGGCTCACTCTTGATGCTTTGTGAATCATCAACTTCCATGGAGGATGGTACATCTAGATCATGTGGAGTGGTTTCATCGAGTGTTGAAGGATGGTCTGGGACTGCTTCCGCATTTGCCAAGGAAGATGAGGCCACAGTAGCTGAGATGGGAGGAAGCTTTTTA